TACCGGTTATTTTCAATTGGTGGAATGAAGTAAATTGGGTACAACAGATAGTTTTCGCAATTTGACTTGATTTCACTGCCTCCACAGAGAAAATGAGGAAGTTAATGGTTTAAATCCTAAACATCTGCAATTTAACTGATCTGGATCTGGTATCTAATTCTAAGCATATTTTGTCTCGAACAGCTGCTCGGCAATAAAAATATTGAATAATAAATAATAAAAATATATTTTAATCAAGCTTTAATATCACATAGACAGATGAAGATGCAGTTTTCCTCTTCACCAAGTCGAATAAAATTTCCAGCATAATGTTCATACTGTTGAAGTCTTGGAGGTCCTCATAAGCATGGTCAATAGTCCAGCTGGTCACGTCCACTGCCCTCCCTGTGTCCAGGAGTATGTGTTTCGGGTGGATCCCGGGACCAGCCTGGGGCTCAGCTCAGACAGCATTGTCAGCTACAGGATGGGCGAGGTGATTCGCTCCCACACCTCTGAAGTGCCTGAGCTCTTACCCTGTGGCTACCTGGTGGGCGACAACAACATTATCAAAGTGAATCTTAAAGGTATGCCCGCAAGGAACTTCATTTTCAGGATTCCACCATGATTACATATGAAATCCAGATGTTGCAGCCAGTAAGGAACACGTCTAAAGATCTCAGGAATCCACATGAGATTGCTACATTTGTTCTGGATTTCGTGATGAAGTCATTTGGCCACCGTTTTGATTATAACCCAAGAACATGAGATAATCCAAAAAAGAGTATTCCTTCCTCATCAGTCTCTATGTCTCTCTCATCGTAGGCTTGAAGGAGAACAGCATAGACAGCCTTGTGTTTGACACTCTCATTCCAAAGCCCATAATCCAGCGGTACCTCAACCTGTTGATGGAGCACCGGCGGATCATCCTCTCCGGACCCAGTGGCACAGGAAAATCCTTCCTTGCTGCCAAGTTGGCTGAGTTCATTATTTCCCAGATGGGGCAGGAAGTGACAGAGCATAATGTGGCCAGTTTCAATGTGGACCAGAATTCCAGCAAGGTAGGATAAGTAGCATGGTTTCTTTTTATTCCAGATATTGGACATTTTGCACTCAGCACAGAATTCTCCATTATATTGGGATCAGTTATTTTTCACTCAATTTTTTAAAGTAAATGAAAGCATTTCTTCCTAAAGAGGCGATCATTGAAATGTATGATATGTGTAGAAAGTGTCTTGTTTAACAGTCCTACTAGTATATTTATCCATTAGTTATTTAAATGTGTTCAAAACTAGAGAGAGATTCTTTTCACACCATTTTATTTGCCTATATAAATATATTGTGTATTTAGAATCTAATTTTCTTGTTTTATCAAAGTAACTTATTCTTCATCAGAGCTATGCCTCTTTCACAATCCAGACATTCTGTTTCCTTTAAAGAACGTTATTATATGTCACATTTAAAAATGTTCAATACACAACAATACAAACAATACACAGAAAACAATTACAGGATTAAATTATTTGTCAGCTGATCCAAATGGTAAACATTTGTTTTCATAAATTCCTTTTGTATGAGCATTTTACTCCTTTGTCTCTCTGTGAGAAATTCTATACACAGCATGTTATTCCTACAATTCCTCATATTAAAAGTAAAACAATTTAGCTGATTATTAAGCTTTATAGAAGAAATCCTGTTTTTGCTTATGCGTCAGACTCCGAAGTCTGATTCATTACAACCAGCTAAATTCCCCATAACATCCATAAATTTGAAAATATGTTGGGTATCTCTTCCACTAGCAAAGTAGATTTTGTATTCATCCAAAGCTTTTTAGTTCTGTACAAACCACTACTGGAGCACATTTTGGTAGATCTTGTGATAGACGCAAAAAACTATTCTAAAGGAAGGCAAGTGACGGAGCTCTGAAAATGTTTTAACCTCGAGTCACTTAAAGTTGGTACCCCTGAAAACTGGAAACAAATGGCTGACTGGCTGAATACTTTGTATGGATTCTTGTTGTGCAGCTGGAGGAGCATGTGTTGTTCACATTCTTTTAGCAAGTTGTGTCACCATCTGCTTCCTTGAATATTAGCTTTTTTGGCAGAATTTTATCATTATATCTCTGTAGTTTCTTCCAGCTTAACAAATTACTATGTCAACCAGAGTTGAAAGAAAACAATTAAATAAACTCCACAGGGCCTGTGATGGTAACATGCATTCCTCTAGCTGTTTTCAAACTAATACATTCATTCATTTATTTTTAACTTGGATTTTAAAATAAAATGACTTACTCTTGTCTACCAGTCAAGAGTTTATGCACACCAGCTTTTTTGATTAAATATAAAAGAAGGGAGTCCAAAATTTGCATTTAGACATCCTTCTTTACACAGGACCTGCGGCAGTACCTGTCTACCCTGGCGGAGCAGTGCAACTCTGAAGACACAGATGTACAGCTCCCCTCTGTGGTCATCCTGGACAACCTGCACCATATTGGCTCTCTCAGTGACATATTCAATGGTTTCCTCAACTGCAAGTACCACAAATGGTGAGTCAGAGCTCATTTCTCCTCTGAACTCAAATACCTCTGGGGGATAAGCCGTAGTGTTGGTCACAGCTCTTGTCAAGTATGTTTACTTTTATTTACATGGCCTAAAGTCAAAGATCTTCTTCTTACGACAGGAGAAGCATTAATATGCTTGAATTATGGATTCAGACAAGAGAAAAAATGCCTATATCATGGGAGTAAAAGGCTGAGGAATCATTCATTGTTGTTGTTTTTGTCTCTTTACAGCCCTTATGTTATTGGGACCATGAGCCAGGGAGTTTCCACCTCTCCCAACCTTGAACTTCACCACAACTTCAGGTTTGAAACCTTTCTTTATTTCACTTACACTGGCATGCCAAAGTTATTTGCTGTTGATGTGAAACTTTTAATAGGTCTAGTGTGAACAGTCCTGTAGGTTCACAATCAGTCTTTTTCATTTAAGATAGGATTGTGCTCAGTGTTGTTCTGATTAGAGAGCTCATAGTATGAAGTACCTTGGCATCCCAAATGATTTGAGTTTTGGGGTCATTTTCATCAAAGAAATGTTTGCGTGTAAGGCATGTGACATTTTTCAGGTTAAACAAAAGACTTTACAAATGGTTCCTATCACGTTGAAATTTAATGTAACTGTAATTGAAAAGCTGATTATCAAACGTTGAAGTAAACATATTGTGGAAGGAAGTCTGGACAGCCTGAGATTCCCAGTAATAAGTGATGACCCTGCATAGTATCCAAACTTCAGATCTGGGTCCTATATTCCCCTTTTTTTTGTCTTGTTCTTAATATTTGTTCACTCTATTTACAATAACTGAAATTTGATTTCCGACTCTTGCTGTGTTTACCATTCCTGTGCATTATTAATAATCTTACATTTATTTAAAAAATTCTAAATAACCTCTGAATATTATGCGTGTGTGTGTGTGTGTGCGAGAGATTGTAAACTGAAAGCATTCTTCCACAGGGAGTGCTGTGATTATGTCTGCTGGATAATTGGTCTTGCTAAATGAAAATTAATGAGCTGTGATGCATGTTCAGCGTGGGGATCATTTCTGCTTGGCATGTTTGACTCACTGATGACTTGACAAATAAAATGCGATTATAGAATGCTTATCATGAGATAGGCAATGATTTAAGATTACTATCAGATTATAAATAATGGGATATAATGCTTATGAGACATATGGAAGAAATGTCCTTACATTTGGTATTTGGTATAATGTAAGAATAAATCACTGTGATGAGAATCTCATTTGCAGTTAAGTTGACAGACAGTATTAGCCCCTCTGCTTCTGTTTAACCATCGACCTTCTGTCCTGTGTAGGTGGGTTCTGTGCACCAACCACACAGAGCCAGTCAAAGGTTTTCTGGGTCGCTTCCTGAGGAGGAAGCTGATCGAGACAGAGATCAGTAAAAACATGCGCAGCAATGACCTGATTAAGATCATTGACTGGATCCCCAAGACCTGGCACCACCTCAACAGCTTCCTGGAGGCACACAGCTCCTCTGATGTCACTATTGGTCAGTTTAACACATTCTTCCTAATGTACTGTTACATTCACGAGTGCTGCGACCCCTGTGGTGTCCTATTTTAGACACTATCTCTATCACACAATCGCCTCTTGTTATATTTCTAACAGGACATTTAAAGTGACTGAATGTTCCGGTCAATTTTCCCATTTCTCCGTTCTTAGTTAAGCTGTGTGATGTGTTTTTCACCTGTCATCTGTGTTTGTTTGTCCCCACAGGACCTCGTCTCTTCCTGTCCTGTCCCTTGGAAGCGGAAGGCTCTCGGGTTTGGTTCACTGACCTGTGGAACTACTCCCTCGTTCCCTACCTGCTAGAGGCTGTGCGAGAAGGCCTACAGGTACAACCTAGTAACGCATCTATCTAACTTCCAGAATTGCAAGTTAAAGATTTTCCACAATTCATTTGAACTCTGGTAATGTTGGAGTAAACTTTCAATTTAATTTCCAATCAATTCTTTCACTAAACGGTAATCCATCCTGCAGCTTTACGGTAAAAGAGCCGCATGGGAAGATCCCTCCAAATGGGTGAACGACACTTATCCGTGGAACATCGCCTCACTGCAGCAAGATGGGCAGACTTTGCTCCAGCTTCGGCCAGAGGATGTGGGCTATGACAGCTACACCTCATCCAAGGAGGGGACATCGTCCAAGCAAGTGTCTCAGAGCGACACTGAGGGAGACCCATTGGTGAGGACAGTAGCTGTGCTATTACAGGGCTCACTGCGGAGGGTTTAGAGCAGTTCATCGACCTGTAGAATTTGGAGGCATCGTCAAGGCTTTGATAAAAGTACAATGCTGAAGAAGGTTTAAGCTTTTTTTTTTTTTTTTTACAATCCTTTAGGAGACATGACCCATGTCCTGTCTTGGTCCCAGTTTTGACCACTAAAAGGCTTGAATCGTAGTC